GCATGATTTCCTCACAATGTGGCATTATGTCTCAGTGTTTTCAGTATGTACAATAAATGTAGATATATTTCTGAGAGAAAACGTATTGTTATGAAAGAGGTTCAAGTGAATTTTCTGCTTTTCATTAAAGAAACTGTTGTATTTATTTCAAATGATTATCAAAAGGCAGTGATTATTTAGGAAAGATTGCACGTGTCAGTAATTTTGTAGACAGCAACCTGAATAAACCACTGCAAGACAAAATCAAAGCTCTCTTTTTGTTTTGCTGTCTTTAGTGTATAGCTGTCTGACAGGCCATTAGGATAGCAAATTACAGCAGTCATTATACTTTGTTCCCTTTTGTATCCCTTTTACTTTTAAGAGCATCTGCCAAATGTCTTGAATGCAAAGACCATTATGCTTGGATGCTTTACACCGTACAGGAAATAATCAAATTAATAATAATAATAATAAATAACAGGTGACTACAACACTGACATTATTATTATAGGAGAGACCAGGCCTAGTTGTCACAATTTTTACTCCAGTGATTATTTATTGTTACAATATGCCCCATATTATGAAGTAAAATCTGTATTGAACTTTTCAGCAAAATGCAAAAAATCCTGCGTAAACACAACAGTTGAATGAAGATTAATGAGTTACATTCTGAGACGATACCTAGTTGCCTCATTAAGATCAAATTTTGGGATTTGAATGACATGTTTGTAATCTTTGTTAGTTAAAATAATAGGAATTGTTTCAGTTTGTTTGAGCTATCAATCACACCTGGTTGACACATGCTATATGTTTGTTTTTTCAGTGTGTTCATAATTATTCTTATTTGAGCACACAGCTAATAAGGAAAGCAGAAGCAGATGCAGTCTATCACAGATGACTCCTTTCATTCAATTGATATCAATCCCATTGATCTGTCCTCTAACCTCCATCATGTTCATTTGACCATCCAGGTTCAAATTAATTACTAATTAAAATCATGTATGTAAATTAGTGGTTCAACACCCTAGTATATTAAATCGTTATGCTCCACAGGTTTTGTAATCTTTGTTAGTAATGCACTTATAAGTCTGCGATCCGCTGTAAAGCAAGAAAACAACTCCTCATGCGCCAGCTGTCGAGGACGCGCTCTGGACAGTTCAGACATTGCAGTGCATTAGAGGTAAAAAACGATATAAATACTGTTCAGTTTCTCGCACAGACCAATCGTTTCGTGTCTTTACACATCAGTGTATCGCCACAAACCACAGGGTTTAATTTGGTTTTGTTTGTGTATGTTTTTTTGACTCTCAAAGCCGTGATTCCCATTCACCTCCATTATATGACTGACAGACTGCAACGGTTTGAGTTAAACATCTTCGTTTGTGTTTTACTGAAGAAACAAAGTCACCTACATCTTGGATGCCCTGGGGATAAGCAGATAAACATCAAATTTTCATTTTTGGGTGAACTATCCCCTTTAAGGTTTTGGCTGTCAGTTAATGATGACCTCTGGTGGTTGGGAATCAATATTATCTATAGCCTAATATATAATTATATAAATATTTATATAACTATATATAATTTAAGGACATTTTAAGTTTTGAACTTAACAATATACTACGTAGGCTACAATTAAAACAAAACATATTTGCACTCTCTCCCTGACGTTCATGTAATGCACCACATCAGTGGATAATAAACAACTCCCTTGACTTGATCTGGTGTGTGTGACAAACGCAAAGATTTTTTCCCCCATTCTGTTTATGCATGCACCCGAATGTGCCAATATATTCTCCAAAATGTATTGGAATGGTATGAGTTTATGCATTCATATGTCATATGTGACTTATTCTAACTTTAATTTGCCTTTTTAAGAACTGTCCAGGGACAACAGATGAAATATTGTGCTTACAGTCCACTTTCTGATTATTAATGAGGACAATGTACAAAACTTTAATTGAGGTGGTATCCTTTTAGAAGTACTTTGTAAAAAATGACTAATATGTAGGCCTACCTTGAAGGTACTAATATGTACCATTTAGGGGTAAATAAGGAACAAAGATGTACGTTTTAAAAAATGCCTACGTATAATTTATGTAGCTAGAAGAAATTGAACGAACAACTATTTGTATCTATTCTTTTCATATCAACACAGTTTTTACCTGCTGTTCTGATTATTCAAATATGAGAGTGGAAACAGTAAATCCGGTCTCGAAGAAAGTGTTATAGCTTTAGACTAGACAAACACTAGATGAGCTTCTCTGACCTGTATGAACTCAGGCTGTAATAATTAGTGACACCATGTGGGATAATCTTCAACAAGTCAACAGATTCAGTCGTTATTATTGCTCGAACAAATCATTTTACGTAACTGAATAACTCACCGGTTGCTTAATCTGAACAATTACACAAACTTGCGTCGAAATGTTTCCCTCTGGCCTCCAAAAACCTCAACAATGCAGACTGTAATATCAATTATTATGACATAACACAAAAAACTACGCAAGCAGAATCAAGACAAAACAACTAGCATTTATATCAATGAGTGAAATATTTATTTAAAAACTGAAAAATAAAACAAACCCACACACATAGTTTTAGTATATATCATACAAAGATATTCTCCAAAATGTTACTGAGCGGTCTTGTTTTTTTTTCCCATTAGCAAAAGTGAGAGGCAGTTTAGAGGCTGGCTGAACTAGACTAGACAACCGAATCGAAACGGTGAAATAAACCATTACCGGAGGTGATGATGACACTCCAAAAAAACGGAAATTAAATACCCAGTGTCGCAACTTAACATAACAGCCAAAGCAGTGCAATGAGTGAAACAATATGACGGCATTAAGACATAACAACAAAAGGGATATACAGTAGCCTATATATAATATCTCAGTCACACAGCATCCACCCAAACACACACGTTATATTAGTATTAAAGAACACACACACACACACACACACACACACGCGCGCGCACTCATGGTTTAGTCAACGCATGTTTATATTGAGTCTACAGGACCCTAAACTCAATAATTTTCTCTTTTGTAGTTACTGACTGGTAGTTTGTGGAGAAGTTGAGGTAACCCTGGTTTGTAGATGACTACAAGACTGCAAGTCCCTGCGAGCCCTGGTGAGAGCTGTGCTGCTGGCAGACAGTGGTGGTCTACAAGGCTATGTGGTCTACATTGCTTTGACAGAAGTGAACAGACTTCTTGAACCCAATACATTTTACTTAACATTCTTCATGCATCTCCATTTTGTGTGAATCTCATGAAAACGGTCAAAAAATGTCCAAACATTAATTGTGTTTTGCGTAAAGAAAATTAAGCATATATATATATATATATATATATATATATATATATATATATATATATATGAATATTTTAATTAAAATATTACTATAAATAAAATTATATAATTTAAACCTTAGGGGCTCCGTACCATTTCTTCTTTCTTTTAGATATCCAGTTGTAAAAGGGAAGCTCAAAAATCCAAATGAAACACACCAGAGTTGAACACAGGGATGGCTACATCTGTTCTCACACCACACTCTACTGATTTCATGATCTCCGTTCACAATACCAAACTACAACTTTAAAACACTGTCCTAATGCTACTCAGATCACGATTTTAAAGGTCTTTTTCAGGGAATGTGACCCTTTTTCCCTTTTGAAAGGCACGGACGTCTCTCCTCGCCTCAGTGTGAAGGGGTGCGCATATGTGGAGCTGGAAGAAGACAACAGGAATTAACAGATACTGTCGTATTAACAGCGTGTAAACCGTACTGGACCGTTTTATGGACCATTACTAATACAATATGGTGCCATATCTATTTGTGCTGAACTAACTAAGATCTAAATAGAGCTATTAAACAAAAACAATGAGCTCCAGCCCGACGTGAGGTCTCACAAAAACAGTCAGTTCATATTCAGTCATGGACTTGAAACTGGTGAAACGCATCAGGACACAGTTTTGTTGAAATATCATACGTTAGATGAGCTATTTAGCAGTTTTGTCCCTATAAGTCAACATGGTGGAACAGTAAAAAGCCAGTGGAATAAATCTATTTAGGGTTTCTTATAAAGTGAATGCCTCGGGAACATAATCAAAGTAAAGCTTAACATAAAAAAAAAACTAAATACAGAAAAAGTGAGTCTCGACTGAGTTTGCTAGTGTTTTCAGGTGTTAGTCCACAGTAGGTCATCAGCTCTTATGTCCAAAGCACTCTTTTTAGTCCAGTGACCACTGCTAGGGGACTAGAGAAGGACGGACCCAGATGAGGGCAATCCTACGCGACATTAAGGAATGTGTTTGAGAGGTGGAAGTCACACACTGCTGCTGTTTGTAAAAGTTGTGTCCGGAAGAATCACAGCACAGTGTCATATCCTGCAAAATGGGGCGACTCACCCTTGTGCAATGCATCATGGGATGTTTCACGGAGAGACGGGATTGTTCGAAATGGTCGGGGATGGGAAAGATTCTCCATTCCGTATGAGGAGGAAGAGGACATGAAATACTCAGACAGTTCAGCGAGCCTGCACTTCCCTCTCTGTCCACTAGGTGGTGTCCCATCCACTTCCTTCTCTCCCTCCCCCTTCGTCGCACAATACCATTACACTCCTCAAGTCTCCAGCCTCCACGGGCCGGGGAAGGAGCAAGTTAGAAAAAAAGCACCTTTTATTTGGCTTTAACGTACAATAAAGAAATCAAAAGAGTTAAAAAGTACAATAAAAAGGGAGAAGGGAAAGATAATGTGTATATAAAGATGTCAAGCACCCCTTCTGTAGGGCTGCTGCACAGAACACGATGAGTCTCAACCCGTTCCTGCGGACAAACACAAAAGACAGACAGCGAATTACATACGAGCAAACACGACACACCCTCTGCACCACTAATTAGCTTGATACTCCATTGTCAGCCCGACAAATCTCAATCCACTCCATTGGCTAGGGAATCCTGGGAAGATTTTTGAGGAGGAAGCAGTTTTGGCTGATGGTCAGACGGTATTGTGTTGTTGACAGACAGCTGTTTGTGGTGTTATTGTGGGTCTTACCCTCTTCCTCCCCTCCCCAGCCCTCTGCGACGCCAGCTAGCTCGTAATGCTTCTTCCTCAGTTCACCCAGTCGCTCCCTCTCTTTCTGCAGTCGGGTCTCCAGCTCCAGCACCAGCACCTGACACACATTAAATGGTCAGATTTGTTCACATACTTGCACAAATACATGGGAAACAGATTAATACACTCTCACCTGTGCGTCCATCTCTTGCCTCTTGATCTGAGTGAGTGTCATTGCGGAAAAGTCCATCGTTTCTGAAACGGAGAGTATTTAGCATTGAAACTGAATTTGTATGGCTTTTAATTCATGTCTAACAGCTTTCAGACTATTGAGATGATTTTCTTGCTTGCAGGTGTTTTTGTCTAATAAAATTCTCTTTAGAATGAGAATATGTATATCTTTCGATTTTAAGAAGAAAATCACGATTTCACCAGGCTGTGATGTGAATTAGGGGCTACCTGTTCTTAAAAAAAAGTTATATATATTAGTTATTTATTTTTATTTATTAATTATTATTATTCCTGTGATGCAAAGCTGAATTTTCAGCATCATTACTCCAGTCTTCAGTGTCACATGATCCTAATTCAGAAATCATTCTAATCTGCTGATTTGATGCTCAAGAAACATTTTTTTAATCATCAATTTTGAAAACAGTTGTACTGGTTAATATTTTATTTATATAATATTAATTTGTGTTTGTAGAAACTCAGGATACATTTTTCTCGGATTTGAATGAATAGAAATTTGAAAAGAGCATTTATATGAAATAAAAATCTTTTGCACCATTATGTTTTTACTGTCACTTTTTTTTATCAATTTAATGCATCCTTACTGAATATAAAAGGACACACAATGTCACTGACTCCATGTGACTGGTCAATGTTGTTTAAATGCCTTGCCTCCAGAGAAGAGCATCAGCACAAGAGCTTGTGTGAAGGAGAGGCTAACTGTGTTGACTTGCTCATTCCTGTATCTCTGGAGGGCACCCTAAACCAGTTTTCATAGCTATAGTTAAATGTGAAATGGGGCAATGTGACTGTGGAGGTCAATGAGAAGTAAAATGAGGCTGCCGCCACTGTTACTACTTTCTTCAGGCTCTTAGATCACAAATGCAGACATGGTTTTATGTTTACGCTGCACGATGCAACACAACTCGTAAAAAGACAGTATAAGTCATTATAATCCATAATTATGTCCCCACTGGATGCAACGAATGCCTTGTTTATAATGGGTTTTCATGTTTTTGAATCGTCGCTCCGGCCAGACAGGGCATCATCACAATATGGTAAGGAGCGTAACATTTCCGTCACACGCTTCAGGTACTCGGCCAATCATAACGCACTGGACAGCTGGCCAATTACAGCACACCTTGCTTTTCAGACCGATGAGCTTTGTAAAAATCGATGCGTTTCAGAAAGGCAGGGCATAGAGGAGAAACAATAATGTACATTATGTGGAAAATAATGTGTTTTTTGAACCTTAAACCCCATAAACACATTGCATTACACCAAATACACAAAATAATGTTCTTTTTAGCAACATCATATGACCCCTTTAAAATAATAGAAATGTTGCATTGGCAACTAACTGAAAATAAGTTAAAGTACTTAAATTATTAATAAAATTAAGAAATATTTAAAAACAATAAAAATGACAAAAGCACAAAATTACTAAAACCAAAATTAAAAAGAAAACTGAAAATATAAAATCGAAAACTGGTAACACTACAGTATTTTACAGTGTCCTTGTTAGAAGCTACATGTACTTACTATAGTAATAACAATAAATTATGCATAATCATTAGGGGTGCTCCGATCATGATTTTTGAGGCCGATCACAGAAAGCAGTATCTGCCGATACCGATACCGATCTTTTTAAAGCCAAAAAGCCAAAAAGTACTGCAAACAATGTGCTGTCACTTTAATTCAGCGCATGTATCACAGCAAAAATAGACTTGGTGCAGAAACGATTTCTGCACTGCTGCAGACGCACCGCTCCTGAACGCACTGCCGTGTGCACTGTGAATGCTTTAATCCATTAACATGAGCGTGGAAAAAATACGCACCACATACCATGCACTGCAAACAGAGTAATGTGAACCTGGCATTATGTGTGTGCCCTGCAAGTGTGCATGAGCGCACGGTCTACAGGAGAGTGAATGGTTAAACACTGGCAAGAATTAAAAAGTAATGCAAAAACTTTACTT